AACTTATAGTTAGACAAATTTAGTCTTATCTGAAATTAGAGTTACTTTTAAGTTTGATTTGAAAATAAAAATTTAATATGATGAAGTATTGAAGAATGTTGATTTTTTTTTAACAAGACATATAAAAATTAAAAATATAACAAGGTAGTCATTCAGAAAGAAATTAAATATAATTTGAAATTTTCAAAGTTTCGAACCGAACCGTTTCGATAGTCTCGAACACTAATCTGAATCGAACTGAAAAAAACAAATCATTGAACCGATCGCCCCGATATTTTAGTAGAAGATTTCTCAATATCCAAATGGTAAGCTCACCCCTATTTGCAACTATACTAATTACCCGCTTATGAGTTCAACCTAGTATTTGAAAAGCTTGGTTAATTATAGAAGATTTGAAAAAATAATTTGTTAACCAATACATGTACACATAAAAAGTAACTATCTTGGTAGAATAATGTGATTCATCATAAGATTTTTATCCAGTAACAATCTTTTATTTTTTCCAAATGATTGCATAATGTACAAATCATTAGTCAATTGACTATTAAGACTATGGCTTTAACCAATACATCACAACTAGATAAAGAAAGTTTCTCCCTCCATAGTAAACAGAGCTCACTTTTTTTTTTCTCTAAAGCTAGATAGAGAATTTTTTTATATCAAAACGCACAAATATGTTAAAATACAATTCGTAGTAGAATAAAATAACCAAAAGTTGAATAAACTGGGAGGAGATGTCACTAACCGCTTATAAACGTCATTAGCAACGCTAGAAACCAAAACAAAACTCATTACACGACAAACACTAAAGAACAAAAAAACTACGAAAACGACGAAGCTCCCAAAAGGAGAATAAATAGAAAACTATGCCAAATGGATAATCATACGAAGACCAACGCTCCAAACTAAAAACACGAGACCAAACAACACAAGACAAACAAACAATGAATCTAAAACAAACTCCAAAAACACTAAAGTAGAGTCCTCCCTTCCCTAGCAGAACAACCGGGCCGAACCAATAGAGAACCAGTCGACTCCAAGAGGATCCAAATCCCGATGAACTGGTTCTGAAATTGCCGAACCGCCTATAGCTATATAATGGACCAATTCATATTGTCATAATTGGCCTGATGTTGGCGGAAAAATTCTTTCGTCTATATTTAGAATTTAATTAATCTTTATAATTAGTAAATCTTATGTATGAAAGAATTAATTAAGTTTTGTATAATCGATGGCTAATATTCATTAAATATAAAGTGCCTTAAAAAAATTATTTGACGTATATTGATTAGATATATCAATCTTATATTAGTTTCATAGTAATTTATTGGCACAAATCTAACAAATATTATGAAAATTGATTTGATTAAATACATTATCATCTATTGTTGTAGATATTAATTTAACTAATTATATTCATCATTCAGAAGTACTTAAAATATTTAATTAAATAATCTGAATAACTGTGGAGATTCATACTAACTTAATGAATAATTTGAAATATTAATAAAAATTTATAAAATATAGTCAACTTTTAACCATAAAAAGGAACATCTTCATTGAATATATCATTTGTAACGATAATACCATTAAAAATTAAAATAATATATTAATAAAATTAAAAATTGATGGCCGGTACAATGCACAATTATAAATTTCACATTAAAATATATGTGTATAGTAAAAACAATTAAGTTTTAAGAAGATAGAATTTTTCTTATGTACTATTTTATAAGTAAATAAAATAGTTATGTATAGTAATTTAACTTATAAAACGTGGTAATCATGAAAATATATAATATATCTAAATATTGGAATGGAAACTAATCAATTCATTATACATTGAATTTAAGAAATAATATAAAAAAAATCAATAAATAAAAATAAATTGTTGCATAAGGACAAAAATTACTAAAAACTAAAATTTATTTACCAAAATTTTTAACATTTATGCACTTAAAATTATTATAAAAGAGGAAAAAAATTATGAGTCAAGGTTCTATTGTGTGAATGTCATTGACTTAGTGTACATTATGGAACAATAGTTCAAGACGTTATGTTTATTAAGTTGTCAATACATCTGATAATGTTTACTAAGAAAAATTCAAAGTCACAAGTTATGTGTTGTGATGCAATAGAGTCTGAGGCCTTGACCTTGGATCTTGGACATTGGTTCTTGGTATTTGGGACTTGCCAATTGGACTGCGGGCTGAACTTGGGCAGCCTTGGACGGTTTGAGCTTGGACTGTGGGGCCAACCCCTATAATTTTTTTGCTGCAAATTTATTTGCAAAATTGTGAACTCATGTTTTGACCCAACCCGTATGAACCTCTACAAATACATTGTATCTTGACATGATTAACTCCACCTAACAATTTTGGAAGTTATTAGGTGCTTCATTTGCAAAATTGTGAACTCATGTTTTGACCCAACCCGTATGAACCTCTACAGATACATTGTATCTTGACATGATTAACTCCACCTAACAATTTTTGAAGTTATTAGGTGGAGCAGTGATGTATTAACATCTGATCGTTTTATGTGTTACCTACCTTTAGTGTCAACTGACATATTGTCCTCCCTGCTTGAGGTGGAACTTCATAGATAGGAGTTCTTAGGTTGCAGCTAAGAAAAATGAGATACATATGCGTTCTAACGCTCTATCGAAAGCCTCACGCATTATACATAATGCTCAGTTCTCAGCTCTATTCTAGAGAGCTAGAGCTCAGAAGTCCGCGTCCTACAATTTCGTGCCGATTGTAGTTATATCTTTGAAAATAAGACGCACAAACCCATCAACACTGTACGAGACATATTTATCTTGCAGAAAATCGTCTCGGCTATTTTCTTTCACGCATCTAAATATCATGTAATGTTCTTTCCAAATTTTAGTTTCAATTATCAATTTAGACAATATGTTTCATGTTATAATCTACACTTAATTTGTAACACTACTATCAAATTTGAATGGGGAACAACACGGACGAAAAACTAATGCAAAATTTGAAGAGTAAATGAAGATATTTCTCATATCACCCGTGACCATATTATATTGATAACTCAAGAAAGTTGGATCTTTGCACGTACTTACTATTAAATATTAATAAACAGCTGATATTCACAAACACACGACTAATATTTTTTTTTTTATTATTATTAGCATAATAGAGAAATTAAATTAAAAAGAAAAAAAAAAATGAACAAATAAAAGATCCTTCAAAATTTTGATTTCCTTCCAGTAGTCCTCAGCAGCAGCTTATTCCAAAACCCTAATTTCTTCTTCCTATTCACGCCGCCGCCGCCGCCGCCATCTCCATCCCCCACAACACTCCTCGACGCAAACGCCATGGACCGACTCTTTTTCAACCCATTCCCACCACTGATCGCCATATAAATCGAGTCCATCACATCCGAAGCAATCCGCCGTCGCCCGCGGCGGCGGATCTCCACCGCGGGCGAAGGACATCCGCCGGAATCGGAGCAGCCGTAGATATACGCAGGCGAACCGGAAATCGAAGGAGAATCAGGCGAATAGTAATAGCTGTGGTCGCCGGTCAATAGCCTTGAATTGCCGGCGACGATTTCGGACAACCTCTGTCTCAGACAGGCTGGGCAAACCCCTGGCTGTGGGATTTCCTCTGGGTGCCGTCTGCAAATGACTCGCGATTCGGACCAAGCCATAAAGCCGTGTTTGAATTTGCTTTTGTGTGATATTATTGAACTTTTCTTCGTTCCTGGTTATGAAGACTGTTTGGAGAAGGGGAATGTGTATGTATAATTAAGTAAATTTGATGTGAATCGGACAAGAAAACGTGTTTTCGCTTTTCACTGTTTTGGAACTTTGCGTGGAAAGTCTGAACTTTTGGGCAAAATTTCGTGGGAGTTGTTTTCTCTAAATGGTTTGGTGGGGGTTTACATCGTGATGATCGTGTTGGTAATTGCAATTTTGAACTCATTAATTATATAATCTATCAATATTTATATAAAAAGGTAATGAAATTCTGCCCGTGCCATGCACGGGAAAACAATATTACGAGTGTGTTATAATTAAATATACAAATAAATTAATCAAGATTTACCCATCATTTTTAAATTAAACCGTGTTGGACACAGTCTGACCGGATGGACCGAGAACTGATTTATAATCAGTCTAGTTCATTTATATAAATTATTTGCTATTCAATCGTCAACACCAGTCGGTTGAACTCGTAGGATCGATACGATTTTCCAAATAAATTTGGCTATATTTAAAATAATTTTAAATAAAGTTACATATTTAAATAAAATAGAGATTTATAAAGTGTTTATCAATTAATTTAAACATTTGAATTTTTAAATTGTTTAGATATTTAAGTACCACATTTTATTCAAAATTATTATAAAAAGTACTATATATATATATATGTATATTAAAGCGTATTTTTAATAAAAAAATAAATTGTATGATTTTTATAAATTAAATTGTATCATTATATTAAAGTGTATTTATAGATTAAATTGTATCATTTTTAAAGAAAAAAATAATAAAACTACTATTTATGGGTTGCATTAAATGCTGACCTATTTTTTTTTCTACTAATTTTAGTAAATAGAATGACTCTTTATATAAGTATAGATTATGTCGGGATTTGTAACAGTTAAATCATTATATAACCGTCGTGAATATTTAATCTAACGGTTATAAATCCAGACAGAGTCATTCTAGTACTGTAGAATCTCCCAAAAAGGTAACTAAATATTTATATTATTTTAACAAAATATATTACTAAATAAAGAAATTTTGCAGCTATAACTTTTTGACTTTTTCCCCCTTTTTCCTTATTAACACTGTCTTTTTATTTGGGAACGAATCTCTAATAGATTTTATTTATTGATTTGATTTGATAATCCCTATTTTTTTTATTTGTAATTATATAAATAACATCTTTATAAAAAAATATGTCAATTCTCTTTCAAATCAGAATGAAATATATTTTTTTAAATATAATAATTCTGCAAGTTTAATGGAATTTGATACACATGTACACAAAAAATAGCGACACGTTAACTGATCTATATAAAAATGGGTTTGATTATTTTATAAATAATAATTATTTTATGTCAAAAAAATGTTGTTTACTAATTCTGGAAACTATTTAAACACTTAAAGGTATGTTTTAAAGATACATTTTAGGCAATTGCGGCTGATTTATTAAGGTAATAAATCACATAAAAATTCCTTTTGTATCTCAAGATATTCATATCATATATTTGTACATATATATCATATATTTGTACCTAAAATATCAAGATCTATCACATTCCTAACAAATATTAGATTTACTTATATATTTTTAAATTAATCACACCAATAAATAATATTAATATACATTAAATATTTATCATTAAAAAATGAATATTACTTCTATAAATGTTATAAGTAATATTGACATTATACGACAATAATTTTTTGAATAAAATAATATTTAAGTATTATGATGATCCAAAATATGTAAAATTATTATTTTTATATTAATAAATAAATAGACACATATATATATATGTTAAAATATTATTTATATTCATATAAACGGATCAACGGGTTAATACATTGTTACAATAAAAATTTTGCAAAAATATTATAAGTGACGAAATCTCCGTGCATCGCACGGGATTCTCACTAATCCCAATTACAACAATATAAAAAAGTTGTTAAGTACAGATAATTTGGACATTTTGCAAAACCGTCTCTATGCTATAATATGAACGTCATAATTCATAGTATTTCAACTTGTTTGGCATAATATCTGAAAATTATTACATTCTTCGAATTTTCAAAAATTATGGTAGATCATTAATGTTATAGGCATGCTGATTTTTTTCTATTTCTTACATGATCGATCATTTGGTTTATTTTCTCAATAAAAGTTCAATGATTTCTACGTTATTCATGTATATATATATATAATGTCTTGGCAAACAAGGATTATTTTCTTAATAAAAAAGTACTATAATTTTATTTACTAGTTAACTAATACGACAGTATGTGCGATTCACAAGACAATAATGATAAACTGTATAAATTAAAGCAATGGAGAAATATTGATTAGTATAAAAATAGTTTCGAATACTACCACTAGTTTTATTTGTTATTTAATATTTATAATATGTAACAATTTTAATAAATGACTTATATACTTATAACCAAAAATTATATGGAGCCATCAGATGGTTTTCTTATGGAGCCATCGATCACTTAATGTATTGATATCTGTTCAAAGTGTATTTATTGTAGGACACGTGTCAATACATTATTTGTGAAACTGCGAATGATTCCATAAGCCGAGCCATCCGATTGTTCCATAACAAAACTGTACTTATATCACCCGTTAAAAATTACTTTCATTCTAGAGTTCCTATTTAGAATTAAAAAACATGAAAATTTAACATTTTCAAACAATATTAATAAACAACACTCACAGTAATATCTCTCCCTTCTCCTACTTATACCTTGTTACAATTACAATATATTATTTTGATTCCTAAATAAATAATGTTAAAGTTGAAAAGTGTGGCGAATATTATAAAGGGATAATTAATTTACAAAGAATGCAGTGTATACAATTTTAAAGTTATATATTTATAAACTATGCTATAAATATTTTTAATTTTTTTTCTAGTATAATAAATCATATGATTGTTCGAATCTGATTGATATATCATTATAATTTAATATAATTTATATAATGAATAATGTAACTTTTTTTTTTGAAAGCTAAAATTTACTCTGTTGCGATAGATGATTTGTTGGTTTATCATTATAATTTATAATAATGTTATAAGTTTTTTTTCTTTCTAAGTCAATAATTATGTTTGATAGTTGATTTGTTAGTTATTCAGTATAGTTTATAAAAATATATAATAAATATTTTAATTTTTCTTTCTAAATTTGTAGTGTATTATTTCAATTCGATAAATGACTCATTGGTTTATCATAATTTATAACTTCATATTCTAGTAATTTACGTGGCAGTTCGAAAAATATCCATGAATTATCATTTTTATATTGTATATATTTGATCCTTGAAATGATTTTTACTTATTTTTTATTTTTTATAATTAGTTTGTAAGCAAGTGAATGATAAACTTGCTAATTATATTTTAGATTATCTTTTACTAAATATATTTAATTATAAATATATCTATATTTCACTGTATAAATAACTTAAGACAAATTTCTTATTTGTAAAATTAACATTAAATAATAAATTTATATGAGATATTAACTTATAACCTTATTAATATTTTAAAATA